AGTCATCACTCCCAAAAAGAATTCAACGGGTCATCTTGTTAATGCTATAAATGAATTACAACAATAAAGGAAAATTTCATCATGAACATACACAAACAACAATATCACATTAAACCAAAGAAATTCCAAAATTACATTTCCCTTACATTTAGCTTCCAAAAGTGCATCCATCTTTGCCATGTTACATTCATTTAGTTGACTAGTGCTATACGCTGTATTAACAAAAACATTAATGGCATAAATAAAAACACTTACACTGACAAGGTACGCAATATCGCGTTCATAATCGAATGCGACTCATCTGCGATTATGAACGCGATATTGCAGTGATCTATGGCTCTGTCTGAAAGCACGTGATGGAGATTTACTATTCACAGAACCGGCTTTACTGACGAGATGTGCATGACAATCATATGACAATCACATGCGATTTATCGTGCAGCCCTAATTTTTTTGTTTGTTTGTTGATCACAAAGTTCAAAATAGATGAGGAAAACTAGGATGCCAGGTGTATTCAAAGCACCGCCATTAATGTGTAGAGTGCGTGGAGTGGTGCACTGTGATTGGTTGTTACTGTTTACAGTGCGTGGAATGGTGCGTTGTGATTGGTTGAGTGGATATATCGCATTCTGCAGAAAAGGGAGACTGGCGTTTGTCGCGGTTTGGAAAAAAAGTGAGAAAACATGACAGAATAACTCGGCGGATATCGCATTTTGCGTAAAATTAAAAATGGACTTTTCAATACCGACCAGATACAATACTGATTTTGGCGGAAGCTCAATATTTTTTAAAAATAGCGTTTATCGCGTTTTGCACCAGGGTCAGGAATTAACCAGGACTTGGAGCAAAATTACTAATAAAAGTGACAAAAATGCCCTAGATTATTTATAACAGTTGTTTCAGCCTGACTGTTCAGGCTGTTCAAATTAAGCTATATCACTATATTTACAGAAATTATTTTAATTAACTGATTCAATTAATGAAATAATTTCTGAAATCATGAAATTAATGTATGACATAAATGGACAGAATACCGTGTTCTTCAGTGTTATTTTAACACCATTGGGATATTATTGTAGTTTTTATATTATTATTTTGATTTTTTTTTTATATATATATTTTCTAAAGTTACATGAAGCAAGTAATTTTGTTGTGCTTTTGTCATTTCTATTGTTTTTTTTTTAACAAGATCACATTTTTATTTCCATTTTAGTTGCTTTATTACATCAAGTTAAACTATGAAAATGAAAAAATAAATGTTACCTTGGCAACTAGCGGAAATCATTTTTTATGTTTTATTTTATTTCAATTAAATTTTTCAATTAATATTTTATTCAAAGTAATTTAAATAATTCAAAGTTAAATCATATTTTATTTAAGTTTTTGTTAACTATAATAACCCATAACAAGGTATAAAATGTCCCCGAAAATCCATATCCTATCACTTCTTAATAACAGAAAAGTCCGTTTCTGAAAGTGGTGCGCACATGCTGGGGTCAGGTGTGCAGTGGGGAGTGTTGGTGTGTGTGAGACATGCAGGGGCTGGACTGAATCATGCAGATGAAGCGTGGGAGGATGGGAAGTGACAGGCTGAGTGCTGCTCCATCAGCGTGTGTGGGGAGGAGAGCGATGGGGAACACCCGCACTTAGACCTTTTAACCTGGATTCACTACACCTCCATCTGTAAGGCTCTCTACAGGCAACTTTTATGCACTGTTTATGCCGACAATGTGAACACTTGTTATTATAGTTGCCTAATACACTAATACATTATGTTAATTGCAAGTATGCTAGTATACTGTACACTGTGTGCCATTTGATAAATATTTACAGTAACATTTTACACATACTAAGGTTTGATAATATCAGTAAAAACTATTTCTTAAAAGTTATTAAGGGCTATAAATGGCTGGACTACCGTTCACCTGAAGTGCATAACATACAGTATACTGGGTAATAACATATGTGAGTGTTTGCGTGTGTGGATGAGACAGAAAGGCTCTGACCTGTTTTGATGATGTTGCACAACTCATAAAGCAGTAGTTTGTTGTCTCCTCCAGTGTCCAGCCGCTGCTCCATGTAGCTGTTGAGCTCATATACCACGCTCTGCATATTCGTATCCTGGTACTGCTGGACACAAGAAAGACACACATTCACATGCACAGCATACTCAGACGTCCTTCTAATTAGATAGTATTAAGGTTGCTTTTCACTAATATTATGAAAAATAGTAAATAGAAGGTGGTGTCCATATTTTAGGTCATATAGTGTATAAACATTACCGTTCAAAAGTATCTTATGTTCACCAAAATACTACACAAACAGTAATGTAAAATGTTTTTATAATTTAAAATAACTTTATAATAATACACGATTATTTTCATGTGATGGCAAATCTGAATTGTATTTACATATACATAATAAATATACACAGTACATACACATCTATTATGTAAACAAAAATGTTTATTTTGGATGCGATTAATCGCGATTAATTGTTTGACAGCACTAATATAAAGCAAATATTAATGGTTTATTCTGCATGACCATATTTTAGATCCCTTAATCCTACATCATACCAAAACTTAACATCTATTTTAATAACTACTAAGCAACAAATTAGGAGTTTAATGAGGTATAGTTAATCGTTAGTTAGAGAGAATTGGTCCCCAAACTAAAATGTCACCAAATTTTGCCAAAAGAGGAACACAGCCTTTCATAATCATAAACATCCAATAAACATTTTTTCATCTCACATGAAATGTGAATAAAGATCACAGAGGCCATGGGTGGTCTGTGTATAATGCAGAAATCAGTTGTAAATCAAGCTTTTACATATTTTAAATGGAGAATGGCCCAAGCGAGGATGTTTATTTCTGTCCCTGTGTGAAAAGTCAGAGTGGGCCGGTGGATGAGGGGTGTGTGAGGTGCTCCCCCACGGGAACGACTCCCTACACATCCTGTTTATGCAGACGAACATGTGACGTCCCTGCTGTCCTTCTCCAAAAAGTCCTTGTTTCTACAGCCCACACTCCCCGTCCTCTCGCGCCCTGTCCCTGCACACCGTCTCAATCGTGTTCTGCTGTATGTCCCTCTCTGCCGGCCCCATTTAACTTCTTCATCTCTGTCCCCTAAATCAGCGGGCCTAAGTGCTCGGAGCGGAGTGTGTGCTGGTGCAATATCTGCCCATTAAAGTGGCAATGATCTCATTAACAGGTCATTGCCTCTCCTCATATAAATCTGTCACAGGGTTTGTGTTCTCTATGCTGTTTGTCATTTAACAGACACCTTCATATTTAGCAGCTGTATGAATGTGTGTGTGTGTGTGTGTGTGTGTTGCTGAGAGATTATTAGCAGAAACTTTTCAATGAAGTGTTCCATGAGCGCTTCTCCCCTGATAACTGACCTCACTTGGGACTCGCTGCCTTTTGGCATGAACGTTCACACTTTTACACACTTTAATAAAGGGGTCACATATACTTCTAAAAAGAAAAAATCCCCCCTGAGATCCACTTCATTTGTAACATAGATTTGTCATAATTTTACTGCTTTAAGCAGGGGCATAAATTTCGTCTAATAGTAGGGGGGGACAATAAACAAAATTTCTCAAGAGCAATTTTTGAAGGGGACACAAACAATACAGCTAAAATTGTACTTGTAATTGTTATACGTATACACAGAGGAAAGCCTTAATACTATTAATGCAGCAGGGGCTGTATATGTACTGTACTGTATATATATATATATATGTATAATATTTTGCCTAAATATTCAATAAACTGATCCATTTAAAACAATTATTTCATTTGTTAGGCTTTACAGTGTTAAAGAAACACACACACGCACACGCACACACACACACACACACACACACACACACACACACACACACACACACACACACGCCTCACTTACCCTGCTAACTTCTTTAGCTGAAGATTCATCTGTTGAAATACAAAAGAAAACCAAGTCAAAACTGATGAAGGTGAGCATACTGTAACACAGTGTCACTTGGATGACCGGACAGAATGTCCCTTCATTTGTATAAAGCTTATATTTGCCTTAGTCTTGTGTCTTTAATTAAATGAACTAATCGAATTAGAGGAATAGAAAAGAGAAAACAGTAAAACACGAGAAACAGGATAAAACCTGCATAACCCAAATGAGCAACGGCTCCATACACAAACACACAAACTTCAACTTGATGTGCAAACTTAAACTGACTCTGATGTTCTAACTGCGTGCCACGCTATACATTTTAACTGTCTGAAAGCAAAACATGCTGTATTGCAGTCAGAACAATATACAAAACCCTGAAGAATTCTGGGCCGATGAGAGTCAAACAGAACAGAATAAGAAACCAAGCAACCAACAAAATGTTCTGTCACTTTCCAATTGTCACATTTGCAGCTGATTAAGACAAAAACAGTTTTTTTCCTGCCTGGTTGGAACACGGTGTTAAGGAACATTCAATGAGCAACTCATGCAGCCAAACTGACAATTTTCCACTTCAGTGATGAGTGTTCTTTTTAAGCTATGCAAGCTTCAAAAATCAAGCTTCAAAGTAAAAATCTAAGTTTTTATAAACTGAAACCTAAGCCCTGACATGTACTTCAAATACAAGGCTTGCAAAAGCTCCATCTACCTACAAACAAACGACTTACACAGCTATGAACACATGCAGATAAACAGGGATAAAATAGGAGCATTTGTGAATACACCATCTCCTCTTGTTCTCCTGAGAAAACACCTGTATCTGAGGTCAGTGAGTTTGCAGAAACCTGGAGACGTTCAGCAAACTCTTTCTCAGTGGCTTCCCCCGTTCAGAAAGAAGCTCAGTCAGTGTGGAACACAGAACATGATGCAGATAAACACTGTCCTCTCAGAGGAGACTGTGCAAGCATTACAGCTCACTCACAACAGCAGGCAAGGCCACATACATCAGACTGCTCACAGGTACAGTTGTGCTCAAAAGCTAACACACAATTTGTATGACCCTTCTTAGTAATATTTAGCAGATTCAGCAAGTAGAATGTAAACCTATGACCACAACTCGAGTGAATAAACAGTCTCTATGCTATTAGATTACACCACAGAACAATCAGCAAGTGATTAACATAAAATTTAAATAAATATATAATTTGCTAAATAAATTTTAACTGAGAAAAAAGTGCAAATGCTTGGCAGAAAACATTCACATGCACAGACCAATCCCACCAATTCCAAAAGAAAAAAGAAAGAAAAAGAAATTGATGCATTTTTCGGGGAACAATGAAAGACACACTTTGGTATGTTTAAAGTGTAAAAAATGTTAATGGATGTACAGAGGGGTCCAAATCATTGTAAGTTTTAGTTTCTTTTGTTTCCTGAAACTGATTTAAATCTATGTTTTAAATGTGATCCTAAGACTTCTGGACCATACATATACTGTATATATGGTCTGTGTACCCCCCCCCCCCCTTGCTGTCACCTGATAGAGTTTTGTTGTCTTCATTGCCTGAACTGAATTGAGGTGGATAATGACATGAACTTTGATATATCAAACTGAATCAACATTGAATATTATTTTATTATTATATTTGATCACATTACTATATTATATATTATAAAACAAATGACTTGATGTAGCTAAAAACAATCAAATGCCTGGAGAATATTCAGGTCTTAAATCATCTAACACCATTTTAACTATTCTAATTATTCATTTTAATCGATGGATACTACAGTCATGGCCAAAAGTTTTGTCAGTGACATACATTTTGTGTTTTGCAAAGTTTGCTTTTTCAGTATTTGTAGATAACTTTTTCACGTGTTTCTATGGTATACTGAAAAACAATGATAAGCATATCGTAAGTTTTAAAGGCTTTTATTGGCAAAAAAATATGAGTCAATATTTACAGTGTTGACCCTTGTTCTTCATAACCTCTGCAATTCGCTCTGGCATGCTGGATATTAGCTTCTGGGCTAAATCCTGACTGATGGCGATCCATTCTTGCCTTATTAGTTCTCGGAGTTGATCACAATTTGTGGGCTTCTGCTTGTCCACTCGCCTTTTTGAGGACTGACCACCAGGTTCTCTATGGGATTGAGATCTAGGGAGTTGCCTGGCCACGGATCCAAAATTTCAATGTAATGATTTCGAGCCACTTCTTTATCACTCTTGCTTTGTGACATGGTGCTCCATCATGCTGGAAAATGCATGGATTATCACCAAATTGCTCATGGATCACTGAAAGAAGTCACTCTTGCAGGACGTTTTGATAGCATTCTTTATTCATGGCAGTGTTTTTGGGAGCATTATGAGAGAGCCCACTCCCTTGGTTGAAAAGCAACCCCACACATGGATGGTTTCAGGATGCTTCACTGTTGGCACAACACAGGACTCATGGTAGCGTTCACCTTTTCTTCTCTGAACAATCGATTTTCCAGATGTCCCAAACAGTCGGAAGGGAGCTCCATCAGAGAAAATAACTTTGCACAAGTCTTCTGCTGTGCAATCCTTGTACTTCCTGCAGAGTTTCAGTCTGTCCTTGACGTTTTTCTTGGAGAGAAGTGGCTTCTTTGCTGTCCTTCTTGACACCAGGCCGTTGTCCAAAAGTCTTGGCCTCACTGTGCATTGCTAACAAGAACACAATGATTGGAAGCGCTTCTTCCCTCCTTTTATAGCAACCAGTCTGCTCTTACAGTCTAATTAGTATGATAGTGATTTCACTTGACTAGTACTCATTCACACTTTTACATTATTATTATGATATGATTAGTAAATTAATGTTAGCTGGTCATTTTGTGTTAGGATAAAAAAAACAGTGAAATTAGTTTTTTTGTGAAAAGTTAATTTTTTGGCCAATGAAGCTTTTAGCAATTATTTAATGATGCAATACTCTAACTTTAGCTTTAAAGTAAAGTAAAAAAGCATGCAAACCGACTGCCTAAGCAAAATAAAAAACACTTTTTAGTTTCAACTAATTAATTTTAAGGTTACTTTTGTAAAATTTTACAGCAACCTGGAATTTCTCACTTGTATTTAAAAAATGAAACCCTTTTAATACCAAACATAACAGACCTTTAAACACTAACAAATCTCCTCCTATATTAATTTTGTGCAAAAACACATAAAATAACACTTAATTAAAAAATGTATTCATAAATTATTAAGCAAAGCAGGCTGGGAACCAGAAACTAGCTTGACAAATTGGTACACATACAAATCAAATTATCTTAACTAGGGTTCCACTTCCACGCATTCAGCGTGACCCCGCTCTGAATCACGTGTGTAATCAGTCCAATGGGTGGGTGAGACCAGGGGCGGATTTAGTGATTTGGGGGCCCCAGGCAAAATACAGGAATGGGGCCCTGTACAATTTCACACATTTACAACCTTGAGGTTTCTTTCACTGTTGCTCGCTGCTGCACGACCGTGTCCCATAGTTGTGTCTAATCTTTTAGATTGTTCATGTACATGTTATAAATAAAGGATTTCTTTAATGTTGTAAATCCCTTGTTCACATTTAAACAGGTTTTAATTAGAGTAGGTTGGACACGACACTAGGGGGTGCGTTGGGGTAATCGTAGAGCCCTATGAAATCAGTTTTATTTTTCCCAAATTAGCCTAAGTTTAATTTTTTCATTTTATTTTTTTTGTATTCAGTTTTTTTTTTTCGTTTTAATTTTTCTGGATGATTATATAAAATTTTAACAAAAAACAAGTATAATTAATTAAAATCATGAAACTTGTTTAATTTAGCAGCAATTTAGGCCTATTAAAAGTTTAACAAAAATTACATTCTTAGGGCCCAAATTCTGCGATTTCCATTTAAATTTTTCTGTATTCCATTTTAATGGTTTAATCAAAAACATATCTAATTAATTGAATTCATGAAAACAACTTAATTTAATAATTTGTATACAATAATAGGGCCCTGTGAAATTTAAATTTTGTTTACTTATTTTTTAGAAATTCAATGTTGTGTATTTTCATTTTTCTGGTAATCAAATGAAGGAAAAACATGATTCTATCTTTTATTCCAATGAAAATTAAACAAACCCTTTAATTTTTGTACATTCAAAATGATACACAACAGAAGTTTACTGTGTAACAAGCAATGCCACAGAATTAATCAAATATTGAATGAATAAATCAAATGCAATTCAGTGCACTTCAATCAAACCGCGATATGGACTAGTGTATGTGAATATTAAATGGAAAAAATACTATTTAGCTACTACTGACGACAACCGCGAGTGTTGCGCATGCTTAAATAGCAAACGAAATGCGCGTACACAGTAAAATCAGTTTTTATGAATAGATTCCAGGATTCCGTCCCCATTTTCTACATCGCCCTACTTTTGCTAAGAAGCACGTTCAATGCGGACGCACAGACGGTTGTCGTGGTAATGAACACCAGAGCAACCACTTGCGTGTCCGCATTGAACGCGCATCTCGTACATAAAAAGCATTTTAGGGGGCCCTTGGGTTTTGGGGGCCCAAGGCGGTTGCCTACCTTTGCCTAATGGTTAAGTCCGCCTCTAGGTGAGACGTCACAGACGGGGTGACGTAGAGACCAGGAAGCTTAAAAGCACGTGGGGTGGAGACAGCGGCAGCTTCTGTCATTCAGTAAGAGCTCTATGTGTGTCCTATTTATTGTTGTTTGTCACGTTGCACCAAGCATGTCTAAAGCAAAAGTCCCTGACAAAGCACAAGGGCGAGAACAAGCAGCAATTTAGACTGTGTCTTCCTCCCTGCCCGTGCTACATTACGGACGGGGATACACACAGTCTATGTGTTGTTTGCTTGGGAGCGAAGCACGCTGAGTCAGCTCTTGAGGGAGGCTTTCGCTGCGGAATCTTCTCTCCCGGAGGGCTTTCTTTGAGGAGGGAGCCCTCGCGAGCATTCCTCAGGGCTCAGGTCCCTCTTCTGCTGAGGCAGAGTGGTGGCGGCGGTCGT